GGCGATGTAGCGATGTCGCGTTGCGAAAATGACGCGGTGATTGCGCGCATCAGCGAGGAAAGTGCGCAAAAAGTACTTGCTCGGGGAGTAATGCTAAATTTGTTTTACCCTTATGCTTTCGCCTTTATGAGATACTGGTACGTGCTGGAAATTCATGAACGTGCTAAAACCTTACGAGTATAACACAAGTACGGATGTAGCTCAAATTGTCATAAGACTTCAATACGATGAACTTGAAGGCCTGAAGGTTCTAAAAATGGCCCAACAGTAGGATAATTTCAAACTCTTGGCATAAAATTCTCATTTGAATGTTTCTTCCTAGGCTTCCTCCTTCGTCTTTCTGTTTTGTGGAGGAGAAAAGCAAACTGGATGAGCCGCTTCTAGGTTAAACTGTTGTAATTTATAAATGCTGCGAAACAGTTACTTTTCTTCTTCTACCGTTTTTTTTAACTTTATAATCTGAGGCAGCACAGGAACCTTTTTCTCATGCATCTGCAAGCAGACCAAAGGCGGAAGGCCAAATCATTTTTTTTTTCAAAATGTGACCTAAATTTCTGAAATTTTTTTTTGAATATGAAAAAAAAACGAGTAAGTGGCGACTAATAGTTTCGAAGTGAATTACAGATTCAAAAAATGGTTTAATGCAAGCAACAAGTTACCAATGGGTAAACAAATCCAGTCAGGTTCATTTCAAGAGCATGTACATCACCTGGTTGCTTGTGAGTGTCGTAGAGTAAACTGTCTTGCTGTGCGCTCTGACCTCTGCGACGACGTCGTTCAGATATCCCTGGCACTGCATCACATTCATTGTGATGATCGCATGGGTCTCAAGGAAAAAGGGATAAGTTTAGCCGAAAAGCAGAACGACAGTGATAGTGAAGCCTACGTCGATGATGATGTCGAATATGCCCGTGTACGTTTGCTTCTGTGATGTCAGAAATACATTGAGTACTGTCTACAAGACGATGTTGCTTTTTGCTCAGAGGTGTTTCATGCATAACAATTTTCGGTTGGAATAACTGAGTCAAAGATTAGGAGAGAATATGGAATCTCTTCTCTTACCAATTACTCTTTTTATATAACGATTTGTCACTGACATGTGTTTTCAAGAATCAGTCAAGCTGTACATCAATCGTCATAGTCTTATAGAATTGATTTAAGGG